CTTATAATACAGTCCACCAAGCACAGACAAGCACAAGAATAGAAGACCTGGGTTCAGTTCCCAGCACCGGGGTAAGAAATAAAAATTTGGAAGTAAATTCTCCAAGGATCTTGCTACATGAAGCTGCAGGAATTGGAGGAGAAACGGGAAAGAGGGTAAAGGTTTGTTATTAAGAGGACAGCGCTCCACTCTTCTTTTTCGTGTTGAAAGAAAGTTTAAGTAGGTGTGCTGAAGAGTGAGTTCACAGGGAAAAAATGAACCCCTGGGAGAAAGGGTGGAGCCCCTGATGCCCTTGACAGCCAGGAGTTCCCTAGCAGACAGGTCACAGGGTAAAAAACAGCCTAGCTGAGCAGGCTAGCCTTAACCCTAACTAACTCTGTCTGCCAGTTATGTCTGAGGTTTCAGGGAAGACAGCCATGAGAGCCAGGGCCTCTGGGGAGCTGTCCATGGTTCTGGACTTCTTGGCTCTGAGGCCTTCACCACTGTCTCAATTTCTTGCTATTCATCTTCCCCCATCTCTCGTGGCTGTACAGACCTACACACGGACTACCCTTAGGCATGCCCTGTGGCCTTTTTGGTCTCTAGAGTTTGACTTGGACAGGCCTCATCCAATTTGAATCCTACCTCTCTCAACCCTAACTAAAGCATACAAGACAAAGGGTAGAGGTTCATTCTTGCTGGGAGGGATATAAATGAGGCTAACAGTCCTGAGACTCCGTTGCCCTCAACAGGGAATGCAATGCACCCTCCCCCCTTCCCACGCTTCTCAGCCCAGTGTTGCTTAAAACACTTGTGAGACAGTTCTGCCCCATTCATTGACTTACCATGAAAAGCTCGGTACGCAGAGCCAACGCAGGCTGAACTGGTAGTGTCTATGACGTACACAGGGGCCCCAAAAACATCTGCAAGCACCTAGGAGGGGCACAGGAGTTAGAAAGGGTGAGTCATTGCTCAGAGAGATCATTTATAACGTTCTATGCTCTGCTCTCTTTCCTATGCCTTCCATCCAACCACTGCTGCCTTAAGTCTGTGGAGCCAGCGATGAGACAAGAAGACCCTAGAGAAGGACTACAGTCTCCAGGCTGACTCTAGACCTAAAAGACGAGATCCTACCACATAGCTCAAGCCAGCCTGAAATTTTCTATGTAACCAAGCTAACCTCAAACACATCATGTTCTGGCTTCAGCCTCCCGAATGCAGAGACTTTAAGCAGCAAGCCATGCCTTGTGCCTTTTCTTTTAAGACTGGACCGTACTATGTAGCCTTGGCTGGTGTAGCATTATTTAGACCAGGCTAGCCTAGAACTCACAGAACCACATGCTGCTGCCTCCTGAGCACTGGGATTTTAAAAAGTGCGTCACCATTTCCAGGCCCCTGTACTTTTTTGTGTGTTTGTGTGCATGTGTCCAGGGAAGGAGGATCCTCGTGTGTGCGGGTACATGTGGAGGTCAGAGGTCAATGCCAGGTGTCCTTTTCAATCAGTTCATCTCACTGTTTGCGAAAGAGTCTGTAATTTGCTCTTCAGCTTACGAACTGGCTAGAATGGGTGGTCAACACTCGCAGAGATCCTCTGTTAGCCCCTTGAGAGGTACGGGCGGCTAGAGTGCTGATGCCCAGACTTCTCTAATGGTGGTGACAGCTGTTCCAGCCCCTTGGGGAGGGAGAGTGGCCTGGCCTCCTGGCTAATGGGAGAAAAAAAAAGCCACCCTCCCCAAATCCCACTAATCACTGAACTTGCCCCAAAATCAGACCAAAAAATGTGTCATCCAATTTAGAAAGCTACACACACACACACACACACACACACACAGAGAGAGAGAGAAAGAGAGAGAGAGAGAGAGAGAGAGAGAGAGAGAGGAAACCCTATGTAAATGTAAGCCTGCTCACCTGCTCAGTCTTTGCTGCTTCTCTCCCCAGTAGAGGCAGCCACCCTCTTGTGTCGCTCTTTATGTCTGTGGTGTATGGTCTGTGGCGTGGTGTGACTTTGTTGTATTCCTTGGCTCCTGACTGCCAGGATATCACCCACTCATAGCTGGGACACTTGCACCTCCTGTCTCCACTTCCCAGTGGTGGGCTTACAGGTTTACACAACCAAGGTAGACATTTTCAGTTGGTAGGAATCTGAACTCAGGTCCTCATGTCTGTGCCCCGGCTTTTTAACCATTTATATCCTGGTTGGTTTGTTGTGTTTGTTTGTTTGTGTCAATGTGACACAAGCTAGAGTTATCTAGTAAGCCAGAAACATGGTTGAAAGATTGCCTTCATAAGCTCAGCCTGTTGACAAGCCTGTGGGGGCATTTTCTTAATTAGTGATTGATGTGGGCGGGGCCACCCCTGGGCAAGTGGTCCTAGGTTCTATAAGAAAGCAGGCTAAGCAAGCCATAAGGAGCAAGGCAGTAAGTAGTACCCATCCAGGGGCTGTGTCTCAGTTCCTGTCTGTAGAATCCTGTATGCCTTCCCACTCCCACATCCTTCAGTGGTGGACTCATAAGGTGAAACAAACCCTTTTCTCCCTAAGATGCTTTTGCTCACAATGTTTTACCACAGCAATATTAAGTCTGACTTAAGTTTACTTACTAATTTATTTTCAGTGCTGAAAATCAAACCCAGAACCTCAAGTGTCACAAGACAAATGAATGGACAGCTAAGAAGATGGCTCGTTCAGTCAAGTGCTTACTGTGTATGCACAAGGACCTGACTTGAAACCCCTAGAATCCATGTAAAGAAGCTGAATGTGCAGCACATGCCTGGAATCCCAGCTCTGAGGAATCAAACCCCTGGGGCTTGCTGGCCAGCCATTTCAGTCAAATCTGAGCCTCAGCCTCTGTGAGAGGTGATGCCCCTAAATAAGGGGGAGGGAGATGAAGGAAGACATCTAGCTCCTAGATGCAAGACAAGGAAGAGGTTGTGGTACAGGACCACCACCACACGTACCTGCAAGATGTCTTTATTGTGAGACGCTCCTCCTGTGGCCAGAATCTTTGTCTTGGGCACTGTAAGACAAAAGATGAAACGGAACTGAATTGCTTGTAGCAATTCTCTCAAGGCAGAAAGGACTGCCCTTCAGCCACGGATGGGCCCTGATAGCTCTGCGGCTGATCAAGAGAGACCCAAAGCTTGGCTTGTCCATGCCAGGCCCCTCAGATGTAATTTGCCTGGGAAGCTACAGTTCCTCTGCCTTTATTGTCTTTACCAACTATAAAATTAGAGAATGTGGGGTTGGGAGATGTAGTTCAGTTGGCAGAGCAAACACAAGGCTCAGAGTTCAAGTCCCACCACCATCTACTTTGCCCCACCCCACCCCATCCTCCCAACCAACTAATAATAGAAGTTTTCTTCTATTGCTAATAAGTGCTCCATACCCAAATCTTATAAAAAGCTTTGGTGGGGTTATTACTGTTGCTGTTATTGATGATGATGTTGCTGTTGTTGTTGTTATCTCACTCTTTGAAAGGATTTATTTCATTCTCTGTGTACGGGTCTGTGTGTGTGACTATACATACGGAAGCCTGTGAAGACCAGAAGAGGGAGCTGGGTCCCTCAGATCTGGGGTTACACTTGAGTGGTGGGAACTGATCTCTAAGTCTTCTTTAAATGTAGCAGGCATTTTAGCCACTGAGCCATCTCTCCTCTATCACCCTTTGACAGGGATTGAGAAAGGGTTTCGTCTAGTCTAGGCTAGCCCCAAACTGTCTCTGTTGTAGAGGATGACCTAGAACTCCTGATCTGCCTGAGTTCACAAGTATGTGCTGCCATGCTCAATCCAGACCAATAACATTCTTTTTTACATTTATTTATTTATTTATTTATTTATCTATCTATCTGTGCATGAGTATCTGTTCTTGAAATGCCCTTTTGGTTCTTAGGCAGAATTAAAACTGAACATGTTAATGACTGACCAAGAACAAACCCTGAGCTCGTCAATCCACCCAATAGCCTGGAGAAGTACAGAGAGGCACCTCCGTGTGTGCATCTTTGTGTTTATAGGCATGTGTATCTAAGAGATCCTGTTTGAGAGTGGGAGAAATAGCTCAGTGGTAGAGTACTTGCCAGCAGGCATGAAGTCCTGGGTCCCATTGCCAAAATTATAGGGAAAACAAAAAACCAAAAACGGGTTGGCCGGGCAGTGGTGGCGCACGCCTTTAATCCCAGCACTTGGGAGGCAGAGGCAGGCAGATTTCTGAGTTCGAGGCTAGCCTGGTCTACAGAGTGAGTTCCAGGACAGCCAGGGCTACACAGAGAAACTCTGTCTCGAAAAAAAAAAAAAAAACAACAACAACAACAACAAAAACAGGGGTTAAAGAAATGGCTCAGTGATTAAGAGCATGGGCTACTCATTCAGAGGACCCTGGGTTTGATTCTTAGCACCTGCATAGTGGCAAACAACCATCTCTAACTCCAGTTCCAGGGTCTTCAATGCCTTCTTATGGCCTCTGCAGGCACAAGGCTCACAAGTGGTACATAGACATCTATGCAGTTAAAGCATTCATACACAGCTCTGGCTGTCCTGGAACTCACTCTGTAGACCAGGCTGGCCTCGAACTCAGGAATCCACCTGCCTCTGCCTCCCAAGTGCTGGGATTAAAGGTGTGCGCCACCACTGCCCAGCAAATTAAATGTTTAAAGTGAAAAATAAAAATAATAAATAAAACATATCTGCTGAGAGACAGCTAAGCAGATTACGACACTTGGTAGCAAATGTTAAAGCCTCAGACATCACATGGTAGAAAGAGCAGAACAGACTCCACTCTCCTGCTGATTGTGTATCTGTCCCCCATACACAAATTATAAATGTATTTAAAAATAAAAAAAGACTCCCCCAGGCTGGAGAGATGGCTCCGAGGTTAAGAGCACTGATTGTTCCTCCAGAGTCAGTTGCCAGCAACCACACGGTGGGTCACAACCAACTGTAATGGGAAAGGGATCTAGTGCCCTCTTCTGCTGTGTCTAATGAGATCAACAGTGTACTCATATAAATAATAAATAAATCTCTTTAAAAAAGGAACCCCTGTAAACCTGGGGGTCTTGTTTGAGAAGAACCGCGCAGGGCTTGCAAAGCAGGATTGATTCTTGCTTTTTAACTTGCTAAAAGAGTAAGTGTCTTTATGTAACCACATATGATCCTCCCGTGTCTTCTGCACTCTAACCTGCTGGGATGACCCCTCTATGCCTAAATGTCCATTATTGATAGTCCAAAGACCCCTGCTAGGCATTCAGAACCCACTTCTCTACACCACTCACTCAGTTTCACTTCTCAGAGACTTCTGGGGGCTCCAGAGACCTTCTGGATTTAAAAAAAAAATCCAAACTGGTTGGCTCGATTTTTACCCCAGCACAAGAGACAGAGGCAGAGGCAGGCTGCAATTCTCTGAGTTCAAGGCTAGCCTGGTCTACAGAGTTCAAAGACATCTAAGGCTACATAGAGAAACACTGTCTCAAAAAACCTAAATAAATAAATAAGCTCAGGATGTTTATCTGCAGCTAGCACACAGCTGGGGGCACAGGAAGACCTCTCCTAATGTCTACAGTCCATGATGTAGTGATCTGTTTAGTGGTGACAGAGCTGAGAAGCAGGCCACCCTGCCTCTGTACCTGCTCTAAGGCACCTCAATTGCTTTCTTACCCCACCCAGAACCAAGTCCATCCACCGTCTCCCCATAGCATCCTATAATGTAAGGCCTGAGTAGACACTACTGTCTCTGAGCCTCTTCCCCTTCCACCCCGTTCCACCCCCACACGCCTCAGAACACGTCCAGCCGGCCCCTCACTTACTGACTCGGTAGCCTAGGCCTTCTGCGTGAATCCTCTTGGCCATGAATTGTCCTTCGATTAGTGCTCGGATCTCCACATCCCCAGGGAATGCTGAGACCTGTCTCCAGAAAATAGGCACAGCATGAGGACCAAACCCAGGTCCTCTGCAAGAGCAGTCAGAGAGAGTACACACACTATGTGTATGTGTGTGTGTGTGTGTGTGTGTGTGTGTGTGTGTGTGTGTACATGCATGTGTGTAAAATAGGGACAGTGAGGGACTCTGGGTGAGTGTGTGTGTGTGTGTGTGTGTGTGTGTGAGACAGGCACAGTGTGAGGGGCTGAGTGTCCTCGTGTTTGTGTGAGTGTACACAAGTGATCTTACTTTAACCACCAATGAATGTCACCTGCTGCAAATTCTGCTGCAAATTCATGCAAACACAGCTCTCCTCTCACATCTCAGCACTCTCTCTGGCAGCCAAGGGTTCAAGTCCTGACTCTAACACTTCCCCTCTGACCTTGGATATCATGGGAATCTTCCCACCTTGGCTACAAAAGTGGCAACTGATTTTTAAGGTCACCATGGCCAAACTGACAGTGCTTAGAATACAGACTCAATGTTTCATAAGTGACAGCCATGAACTTATCCTGAGTATCCACAGTAACAACTGTGGATGGCTCTGATGGAAGTCACCCCCAGGCTGGGACCTGCTTCTCCGGCCCCTCAGATAAAGAAGTAAACCTAACACTCTCTCTGACTGCTCTTGCAGAGGACCTGGGTTTGGTTCCAAGTTCCCACATGGCAGCTCACTAACACCTATAATTCCAGTTCCAGGGGACCCAATGTCCTCTTTGGGCCTCTGAGGCCACCAGGCACACACGTGATCCACATGCATCCACACATATGTACCGAGTGGATGGATGAAGAACTCCACTTTCTCCTTGATGTACTTGAGAACAGGCATGAGTATCTTTTCTCTATAAATAGAAACTGAACTTAACCCCAACCTGAGGACCAGGATGAATTTTTTTACAGTTTTGTTTGTTTGTTTGAGACATAAACTCTCTACATAGCCCTGGCTGTCCTGGAATACACAGAGATCTTCCTGACTCAGCCTCTGAGTGCTGGGATTACAGTGGCACCACACCCAGCAAACCTTCTACATTTTATCCAAAGCACTTCACTGAATGTGTAATGCTTAATTTGCACCATCTAACCCAAGTCCACCTGCTGTTTACAGCGACTTGAGAGTCCCCCAAAAGTTCCTCCAACATCCACTGGGGTAACAAACATCCTCCTGCCTCAGCTCCCAAAACATGATGTCAGCTCACGGCGACTACCAGAAAATCAATTTCAAACAGGGACTCTCCTGGAAAGGGTCACATGGAAATGAGAGAAATGTAGCTTCCAGCCAAGAAAGTCTGAGTTTGAGCCTTCTCCACCACCTATGTCCTTGTGAGTTTGGGCAGGTCATGAAGGCTAGGCCTCTACTTCCCCATCTGTAAAAAGGGCTGGTCGAGTCTACATTGCAGAGTTGAAAGTGAAATCACAAGCATGGTGCCTGGAACCCAGAGGTCCTCAGCAAATGTCACTGTCTCTCCGACTGGCCTTTCCCACTAGGAAGAAATTCCTGCCATCAGGACCCAAGAGCTGCTGTGAGGTGGAAGATACGGTTACCAAGGAAACATCCTGCAACAGCAGCCGGGGAACTGACAGTAGCTCAGAGAGCTCTGGTCACATGCATTCTTCCTTGGGGGAGAGACGGGACCTATCTAAATCACTCCTGAGACCCCCACCTCTAGAATGCACCCTAAAAGCAGCATGCTGAGGACCAGTTGTTAAAGCTGGCTCAACGCCAGCATCAGTGAATGTAGCTGTTAAGCCAACAGCGTTATGTGTCTGGAGCTGGAAGTCAGCAGTCAGAGGGCTTGCAGGGTAGCAAGAGGAGCTGAGTTTGGAGCCTCCTGAGGTGGAGCTGGAGAATCCCCTGAGCAAGCTCTTTGATGGAGAGAACCCGTCCTAACGAATATGGGAGAAAAGCAGCCCAGGAAGACTCCCAGTGTCATGTGTGGGCTGCCACAGGCCCGCACACTGGCATCACACATGTAAACACACACACACACACACATACACACACCACACATACACACATGAAAAAGACACAAGTACCTCAGCGTTTTCCGCATTAAACCTATGACGCCCGATAATTTCAGGGGTGATCTCCATGACATCGAAATAAAAACCTGAAGCAAAACCAGAAAGGGGATTAGCTGTCAGCCCTCTGGAGCAAAAGAACAGTTTCTCAAAAGACTTCAAAAAGGATGAAGCAAAGTTATGTCATCTGTACCTCAGCCTCCTCTCATCCTCTAGAGGAGTCCTGTGATCTCCTCAGACCTTTCTCTCCCACAGGACAGAAGGGACTGGGAAGCCTGGGCTGTTCTGAGGTAACCTTTCTTCCTTCCACTTGGCAGCTGAGCTGAGGAACAGCTGCCTCGCTAACCCTGAGCACCAGGTGGGCTATGTTCAGAGAGACACGTCCCTTCCTTCCTCAGGACATAGAAACCTGCATACAGAGAAGCAGCGGGCCACAGTAGATCCTGGGGCCGCCATCTCTGACGCTATCTCCAGGGATTTTAAAGGGGAAGAAGATATAACTCGAGTCTGACCTTTCACTGGAGGTTTATGGAGCAGCAGCCAAGGATAACCACATGAGTGTACCCTCAGAACCCGAAGGCCCACGCCAGCTCGTGAGAATACATGTGGAGACAGAAAGCCTCCTCACAACTTCTCCATGCCCCCAACTCATGGTATTCCAAGCCTTGCTGCCCCGTCCACAGGCCCAGCCTACCCAAGTTTCCGTTGTTCCCCATCTCTGTGGACTGCAGGGCCTTAGAGAACTTGTTCCAGGAACAGGAGGCAGACTCATCTCGGATCTTCTCTCTCATAAGGGAGCCATTTTTAAAGCTGCAGAAACACACACAGTATGAGTCCTGGGCTTCCAGGTTTTGTGGTGTTAAGGTCAGAACTCAGGTACCTCACATGCTAAGCAATAATTTACTCCCAGACTGGCCCCAGGGTTGCTGAAAGAGACCCAGGCAGAGGGTCTCCAGGTCAGGCTAGACCACAATCCATGGACAGACCAATCACAAGTATCTAAGTCTCTCCTGTGGTTTCTTAGACATCCTGGAAGGTGCTGGACTCACACTTACCTTGGGATCTGTTTATGCTTGACACTGCCACAGTAGGACCCACACAAGGCTTTCTATACCTTGTATCACCACTTCTATAGGACTGGGTACTACCCCAACTAGACCAGAATAGTCTCCAGTGGTTCTTGGTAATTACAGCTCAAAAACCTTCTAAGCCTGGTAGCTTCCAACAGTACCAAAGACCTGTGACCAGGACATGGAGTACACAATTCCTGTAAGAACTCTCAGGGAACAAGCTGTCCCCAGACCATTTGCTCAGGGTCACGTTAAATATGTATGTCAGAGTGCCATGAAGCAAACGCCTCACTTACAAACCCAGTCCCACACAGGATAGCATTGGAGGTGAAGTTTGCACCCAAGTTTGGGGGACTACAGGCCTTGGGCTCTTCCGGAGATGGTTCTACTGTCAAGCAAGAACTCATGTGTCCCTGTGGTCTCGGCTACCCATGACACAATTTAGTAGGAAGAGCTTGGGGGTGTCTGGTTGTGCCTGACCTATGTGTACCTCCTTTCCTCAAGTCAGAAATTCCAGGATTACCATAGAAGCGCCATGTAGTGACGTGTATCCACTGGGTTGCAGAAGATGTGGCCTTCCAAGGCAGGCATGGGCTTTTGGAGCCAGAGAAATAGGGTGTCGCTGGTGCCCAGGCTGACCTGAGGAGAGCAGAGCAGAGGGTGAGGTGCCAGGGGCTTGCCTACAAACGTCCTCTGCCAGTGATGTACCCGCATCCCACCCTGCCTTCATCCAGTCACTCAGGTGACCACTGCCAACTCTTTTCTTTTTCCTTGACTCTCCTCATACCGCGTGAGTTAAAAGGTCAGCTACCCAGATTCAGGCTCTGATGGACACGATCACTGACTTTCTAAAGCTTAATACTGAATCACCAAAGTAACGGTTTCCCAAATGGCTACCCTGGTCGACGCAGAAAAGCCATAGAAGAAATCGTCCCACATACCCGGCAGCTCAAAGCACCCTGGCCCTCCTTCAACCCTCGGCCACTATGTCCAGCAGACAGTCACTGTCAAGCAGACAGGGGTCTTGCTTGGCATCATCAAAGGACAGCAAAATCTAGTGAGCTTCCATGCTTTTTAGAGGCAGCAGACCCTCTGACAGTAGCCAACACACAGCTGAGACTCAGCACCCCGGTCCCCAGGACTGAAGGTCTGTAGGTGTGAGAAGTCACTTACGGCAATATCTCCTTCCTCCAGCCTCATGCCGGCCAGTGACGCTGGGGATGGAAGGGAAACCTCTGGTTAGCAGGGGTCACATGGGATCCACAGAGCAAACTGCAGTAACCACCTAGACAGCACCACAGATCCCACCTTCAGCCTTAATTCACAGTCGAGCAAGCTGAGTTTAAGGAGCCAAAAGGTGACAGGGGTCAAAGGGTGGACTGCTCCAGACAAGGCCCTGATTTGGGTTGAGAACTCTCCCTCAGGGATACAAACTCCCCGCCACTGGCAGGTACTCCAGGCCCAGCGAACCAAAGAGACCCGGCCAAGGCATCAAGAACATACATGGCAGGAAAGACAGAGGTGAGACAGGAGCACAGTGGGTTTCGCTCACTCAGGACAAAGGAAGAGCTGCGGTTATGGCGTCTGCCTCCTGCAGACACAGGGTTCCCTGCAGCAATCTTCTCTGCCCTCTTTGCTAACACACCCCAAGCACTAAAGAGGACCTGGCACATAGCCAGTGCACCTTAAATGTTGAGTGGGATGAACTGAGTGGAGGAGAAATGAGAACAGGAACAGACTCGGCAGTGGGGTATGCCTGGAGGCTGTGCACATGCCCAAGCACAGGAGACAATTTGGAGCTCCATCACAGGAGGTCAGGACAGATGAAGTCCCGACACCTGTACATCAAGTTGATCAGAAGGATGGAGGCTAAAGCATGAGCACAGGAAGAAACTGAGAAGGAGAAGCCCTCCAGTGTTAACTGTCCTTTGAAGGTTCGCTAGGAAAAGATGGCTTTCCCTGTGGGGTTGGAGTACAGCACACAGCATACTCCTCAGTGGGGCCCATCTGCCCTTTCACAGAAACCAGAGGCCCTGAGAGTCTCTGAAGGAGAAGAGGCAAGATGGAGGGTGCCACAAGAAGCAAACTGTTTACAGACCAAATGACCTCAAAACAGCATTCTGATGGATGGGCTGAGGAGCTGAGGTGCTGGCTGGAATAGAATGGAGGTGGGGGTGGGGAGGCAACTGCCTTCTTTACACCCACCGACCTTCACCAAGACACTACAGGACCAAGCCCATGCCTGAGTCTTTGAAGGTGGTGAGGCCAGGCTGGGGTTGAGATAAAGAGCCAGAATTCAGAAGGAAAAAGGAACAGCACAGAAGGCTTCATCAAGCTGGTCAGTGGGCTGGGCATGGTGGTATCCGCTGGACTGAAGAGGTGGAGACATAGTACATTTCTGAGGCTCTACAACTAGCCAGTGTAGTCTACCTGGGCATTCCAGGTTAGTGAGAAACCTTATGTAAAAAGAGAACGTAGGCAGCACACAAGGAATCATAAACAGCTGGACATGGACCTGCACACACACACACGCACACACAGAGAGAGAGAGAGAGAGAGAGAGAGAGACAGAGAGAGAGAGAGAGAGAGAGAGAGAGAGAGAGAGAGAGAGAGAGAGAGA